TTATTTGATGAAACTAGTGAGAAGGATACTGTTGTATACAATGCTATGATCTCTGGATATTGTCAAAACCTGTACGGTGAAGATGCACTGAAACTGTTTGTAGAAATGAGGAAAAGAAATTTGAGTCCTACTGATCATACTTTATGTACCATTTTAAATGCTTGTAGCAGCCTTGCAGTTCTTCTTCAAGGAAGACAAGTTCACTCTCTTGTTATTAAAATGGGTTCAGAAAGGAATGTGTTTGTGGCCAGTGCTATGATAGATATGTATTCAAAGGGTGGTGACATTGATGGGGCTCGATGTGTGTTAGATCAGACTTCTAAGAAGAATGATGTGTTGTGGACATCCATGATTATGGGTTATGCTCAATGTGGGAGAGCTTCAGAGGCTTTGGAACTTTTTGATCGTTTATTGACTGAGGAAGAGTTAATTCCTGATCATGTCTGCTTTACTGCTGTTTTAACAGCTTGTAATCATGCAGGATTTGTTGACAAAGGGGTGGAATACTTCAACAAAATGAGAGCAAATTATGGGTTATCTCCTGCTATAGATCAATATGCTTGCTTGCTTGATCTGTATTCTAGAAACGGAAATCTAAGGAAGGCAAGGGATTTAATGGAAGAAATGCCGTATGATCCAAATTATGTAATCTGGAGTTCCTTCTTGAGTTCTTGCAAGATTTATGGAGATGTAGAGCTTGGAAGAGAGGCTGCAGATCAGCTCATTAAGATGGAACCATGTAACGCAGCACCATATTTAACACTAGCACATATCTATGCAAGAAAAGGTTTATGGAATGAAGTAGCTGAAGTCAGAAGCCTTATGCAACAAAGGAGAATAAGAAAACCTGCAGGGTGGAGTTGGGTAGAGGTAGATAAGCAATTTCATGTCTTTGCAGTTGATGATGTATCACATCAACAATCAAATGAAATCTACGCAGAGTTAGAAAAGATTTACTTGGGAATTATGGAAGCATCATCTTATATAGTAGAGGATAGCATTATTCAACCATAGATCGACTTGCTTCCCATGCAATGCATACGCCAATTTATGATGAAAACTTATGAGGCGTTTCGTTGAAGAGAAATTTTTTGAATACTAGAAAAATATAATTAATAGAAAAATGGTTGGAAAGTGAGTTTGGTAGGAAAATGTAAAAAAATTGTTTGGTTAGAAAAATTTTTACCAGACAAGATAAGTAAGATTTATAAAGTCTATGTTTGGTTTGAGGTAAAATATAAATGGAAAATAAGTGACAATTTCGAAAATATCCTTTTTTTTTGGTACAGATTATTTTTTAATTTTGAATACAAAGGATACTGTTTGCTTTTTTCAGCCTCATACCTATCCTTTTTTCAGCACTGAATGATCCAAGACATACTTAAACGTGTTATTTTTGTCAAAGTTTTCAACGTTAGTTTTTCATTTCCCCAGCGAAGTTAGAATACTTATATCTTGGTGGTATTTTTGGGTTGAATTTTTGTTCTCATTTTACACTGAAAATGGATTCCTAGGCAAATGATAATTGTGGGAAAATTTTCTCACATTTGCTACCAAACATAAGAGTCTTGAAATCTTACCGTGACTTTCCCATGCATTTGAAAATAATAATCCAACCAAACACCCCTATACTTTTTTGCTCTTAATCAATGCATGCTTTGTTGCTGGAAGCAAACGAAAAATTAAATTAAATTAAATGGGAAGCAGGGGGAGGATCATAAGTATTTCATCAGATACTCGCTCGGGTTATGTGGTTGAATAAACCTTTTCAATCTTCAAGTGTTTGTAAGGCTTTTTGACCCTTATAACCTTTAATTAATAATTAATTACCAATTTGACCTTCATTTGAAACTAATTCGAAAATTTAACCCCTTCAGAAAACATAACACCAATCTGCCCATGTTTGACCGTTGACCATGAAGCCTACCCGGATACACCCTTCCCTACCCTGGTATTTTTTGAAATTTTTTATCTACCCGTGTAGAGAGGGGTGTACCCGGGTAGAGTTCTTGAATCTGAAAAAATGGTTGAATTAGTTACCCGGGTAAACATCCAGAGTAGCGTTTTTATATAAATGAAAAAAACTGTGACAGGCATGGTTCATGGACGATAGCAACGAAGATCCAAGGCTTCCTCGCCATGGCAGCCCTAATGAATTTGTTTCCATCAACCAATTAGCAGGTCATTACTCTCTCTCTCTCTATCTATAGTTTTACTTAGTTGTGACGTTGCAGAAAAATGGTGAGTTTTGCAGAATTGAGACTCTTATACTGGAAGCTGAATCCAAATGATGTTGAGGAAGATTAGAGAAACTAGGGGATACAATTACATGGTAATGTTGTATTAATTTTTTACTAATTTCATTTTGTTTTCTGTAATCAGAAGGTGCTTCAATTTTTTGCGTTTTCATTAACCTGATAGAAATATAAATCCGAGGAGAATATGAATTGGAAAAAGAAACTTTTTAGCATCTCGGTTATATAAAAACGCTACTCTGGAT